CTGAAGGCTGAACTACAAGCCGAAGGATGGATGCTGGCTCCCAGCTCCAGGAACAAAACACCAGCACCAACCACCAAAAATTTCCACAGGAATGTGGTCTCTTTTTCAGTGGTTTCTGTAACCCCTTGCACCACCAGCATCTCTTTTCATGCCAGCCCAAAGTATGGCAGCTCTTGAGATATTTTAACATGAGTCAGTTGTTATACCAGTTGGGTGAAGGTAGCTGACATCTCCAAATAGATCAGCATTAGCGTCAAGACTAAAAAGACATGTGAAAGCTATGGTGACAAAAGTGCAGGGGTACAGCGTGACGCAGCCTGGAACAACTAGCTCTTCTGTCGTTGAGTGGGACCATTTGAAAAAATTATATAAATGTGACTCCATCAAGCATACTTCAGCCCTTAAATCCACCAACACATCCATGAATTGGCATAATCACAGAAATGTGCACATTAAAAAGTGAATTTATACAGAATACAATGTTAGACCGTATATAGTCTCCACTAAAAATGTTATAGCTCACCTGGTAGAGCGGGCGGCCCATGAACAGGGGCTGTAGTTCCCCGATGCAGCGGTCGTGAGTTCGAATCCCGCTCACGACCCTTTGCTGCAGGTCTGTCCCCATTCTTCTCCCCCCTTTCCTGTCTCCCTCTACTGCACTTAATAAAGGCAAAGGCCAAAAAAATATATTTATTCCCATGCTGTATGTGTTTTGCTGGATATTATGTTTTTCACCCTTGTTGTTTATATGAATAAAAATTGAAAATGAAAGAGAGGAAAAATCAGGTCACATTATTTCTGGGGTCTGAGAAGAATGTTTATTCCATTTTCTGCACAAAAAGCAAGAGAAACATTGTTTTTCTTTGCTTATTTGCAATGGTTTCATTACTTATTAAATCTTAGCAATTTGTAGAGAGAATATATAACCCGAGTTACAGTTTAAACGGTGCTGTTCGTAAGGCAAACGAGAAGACGTGTTCGGTTTCTTCCTGTACGTGGTTTATCATGCACTGATGTGACTATGCGATAGTGTTTTACACTAATTTAACATCAATTCAAACGTGTTGAAAGTGTTTTGCAAAAGATCCGAGCTTCCAGAATTGGTGCAATGACAATAGCAGCTATTCAGCCATGTGAGTAACATGTTAGGTTGCCATCACGCTTACAAAACACTACATGTTTTGAAAAAAGCTAAACAATTATGTATAAGGCAACACTGCGCAATGGGGACTGCAATAGTACTAAGATTTCAGGCTGTCAGCTCCCATGACTAAATCAATGGAGCAGAGACTGGAACATAACACATAATGCAAAGGGAGTAGAAGGACACATGACTGCATGTATGTGCAAGTCTGAACATGCGTGGTCTTTTAAATGAATTCTGAGTTTATTGTTTTCTGAGTGGGGTTTTAATCAGGTAAAGAGATTTAAATGACAGGCGTATAGTTTATTTTGAATATGATTGACTTATTAGTGTTACATGTGTACATGTTGTAAGCACAAGTCTAGTCGATAAAAATCTCAAATTAGAATAAAATTAGAACAATTGTAAAACACACACACACACACACACACACATCTTAGGCCTGACTAATTTATTATGGTTAATGTGTGAAATGTAGGAATTAAAGGAATTTTAAAATATGTAAGTCTAACTAATTATCAGCCTGGCAAGATAAAAATGATGAATAACAAACACACATTTATTTTAGTTTGAGCCTAGATCATATTTCTCATCGCTCTCATTTTTAGCCTGAAGCAAAGGGAAACCGGCTGCAACTGGCTGAAACTGGTTCTTATGGACTTGGCATGGTTTCAGAAACTTAGAAATTAGATAATTTTACCATTATCAAAATTAAAAATGCAGGATTGGAACCTGCTATCACTCCTGAATTGATTTACATCAGGAATCTTTGCAAAAATAACATAAGAACATTACATTTACATTACATTAGCTTACATTTTACATTGTAAGCAAATCAGCTTAGTTTATAAATATAATTCAGATTTATGTAGTCAAAAAACCAAGGTATGGATAACATTTCAATGGAAATTTACATGTAGAGTGACCTTTCTTAAACATGTTTGTTCTGATTCCCTATTATAAAATGTTTCATCTTAAAAGTGCACTGTGAGGTGAGTGTTAAGTTCCACACTACACACACATTAGATGTATTTATATATGTATAAAAATAACATTAAAGAATAAGTATTGTATTGCTACTTCCAAATGTCCAAATGCAGTTTGTCACTAGGCCTTTTACATGGCATGTTCACAGAGCTCTTTCTGTGGATGCAGACTGTAAGTGTCTTACTGCAAAATGAAAAGTCTATCATCTTATCATCCATCACACGTCATAATTTTTTAATGGGAAAAGTCTGAGTTTACATGGACGACCTGAGAGCTGAGTGGTTAGGGCACATATGCCGTCAGCAGCAAGTCCCCAGTTTGAGTCCTGGCCGACTGGCCGGACTTTTACTGCATGTCATTCTCCCTGCTCTCTTTCCCCACATTTCCTGTCTCTACATCGCACTATCTAAATAAAGGCAAAAATGCCCCCCAAAAAACTTTTAAAAACTTAAGGTTTTAGAATCACCTGCTAAATAATGTGCTCTCTAACATCTAGCAACAATCTGACAGAGAGGTTACCACGCTGAAATGTCATCTTATATACACCATTTTTAATAAACTTAATGTAAGCACATTTTAGATTCACGTGTATAACTGAGGCCAAAGACGAGGGGCCTCCTTAGGCCATGTCATGGGCAAACAGCTGCACAGCACTGACTTGCATCTGCCAACAAACCTGCATTGAGAAAGGTGTCACTGGAACACAAACACTGTATTCACCATTTGGATGTTTCTCTTTGAAATTATAACCAAACTGAACCTTAAACTAATACATTTTCATTAGGTATCTATTTGAATGCAGCTAGCTTTGCAGACTTTTGAACGATTGATGGAGAATTCTGATCAGTCATATTGGAAAAGAGGTCAAATAGATTTAATGAAGTGAAAAATAAATGCTCCTAGCATCTGCACGAAAGGTTTTGAAAAATGTAGGTGGCGCCTTTAAAGGCTGCTTCCTCTTCTGCAGTGAAAAGAAAAAAAAAAAAAAAACAGACTGTGTAATGAATTGAGTGCACCATGTGAGCACTGCCACTGGGTGAAGTGGGGGAGGTGAACCTAGAAACACGGCTGTACCATGTTCCAAAGAGGTACAAGGAGACCTGAAACACCTCATTTTTTATGGACTAAATCAAGACAAAAATTTTCAAAACATGCTGAATAGTCTAGTCCTTAAGAGTGACAAATCTCCCAAACTGTGGCTGGCTTGTGACTATGTGCTTCATGCGGCAAACACTCAGCTGGTCACTTAATCTGCACATCATTTCACCTAAATCAAAAAAGATGCTTTTTTTAAATTTATTTTTGAAACCCACAAGTCAGGGCAATGAAAAAAATGCTCAACTCTTGTATTACCATTGACTTTAGGCCACACCCACATCCAAGGGCAGTGTGGTGCATGGAAAATTACTGGGTTGTACCACTTTAGTCAAAGAGGGGGGTTATGCTGCACAATGTAAAGAATGCAGCAGTTTGCTTATCACTTCTGTGCATTTTTGCATTCTGTAACATTAAGGTCTTGTAGTGTTGATTTTCAGTTTAGGGATATTGTTTCATAATCTGCATTTAACTGTTTTTTAATTTTTTTTTTGAAAAACCCAGTATCTTCATTAAAGCTCTACAAAATGACAGTAAGTACAGTACGCTCATTTAATATTCTTCTATATTCCACCTTGCTTATTATCTCTAGGTAGATGACGACTCATCAAAATCTTTTTTCCTTTTTGCCCCTCCCCCCAGACTGCCACCTCTGCAATGTGCTGGTTGTGCTTCCTGCTTGTTTTAGCTCCACACAACATGGTTGCTACACTGAAATCAGTAGGGTGAGACCTTAAAGACTGAAGTGAAGTACAAATACATTCAAGACACATATGCACATTTCAGGTTCCTTCATTGGGAAGTGAATGAATTACATTAATAGGCCTTAGACTACTTGTATCAGACAATTTAGCAACATGAGCTATGTGAGACAATGTAATTCTTAAATCAACAGAAACGTAGGAAACTTTTGTCTTATTGTTCATATGGCTAGGTTATTTTTCTTCCTAACGTACTACCGCTTAACATCAAAATAGCGTAACGTTAGCAGAAAGAGTTGCTAAGTGCAATTGTTTTTTGTAAAAATTTTTTTTAAAAAAGGACACATAACCTCTGTATTTCAAAAAAATGTTCTCTTAATGTAATAAAAACCAGGATTCAAATGCATTAGATTTGCAAATGACCAAGAATAATGCCCAAAATTAGGAACTGCGTGGTAAACAAAGTGCTTTAAAAAAATTAAAAAATCAATAATGGAAACCTCACCTTTGTAATAAGAAAAAGTTCCCTTGATGTAAGACAACTCAAAAATCAGATACATTAATAGTTTAAAACTGGTCAAACAAGCAAGTACAATGCCATGATTTAAGAGTAGCTACATGCTAAATGGAGTGCGTTTTTTAAACTGAGAAGTCGAAGGCTACTCTGATAAGATAAAGTTCCCTAAATGTAATATTTCATGTAAAATAAATAAATAAATATAAAATGCGTAACCATTACTAATTTGGGGGAGATGTCAGTAAGAAGGTGTTAAAAATCTTTTAAAGCGTTAAAATAAAGAAATAACACATTAAGTTTAAAAGTGTTCATTTAGCTAGTATTGTACCTGCTAGCTAACCTTACTGCTTACACCCGCTGCTATCCCAACCTTAGCGCTCACTGTATAATGTGCAACCTATGAGGTAAAAACTGAAAAACGAAAAAAAAAATCCTTTCTGGAATTCCAGGTGAAGCCTTTCTGTTCAAAAGCCAAACTCACATGAAAGATATTACCTATTTGTGTTAAACAAAATGACAAGTGAGAGCTGCCTGGCTAGCATGCTAGCTGCAGTACCTGGACTCACCGACTCTTCGCGTTGTCCGAAGATGTTCCCGCGATTTTCACTGTTGGTCTGTAGCAGACTGTCTCCTCTGCTCCTCCTCTTCCTACCGGCGACCAACTCCTCCGGAGACTGCTGTGTACTGCCGTTGCGGTCAGGATGTGGTTATTAGACGAGCAACGAGTCCGCCGGTTTCAACAATCAGAGGAAAAACCAGTGCGCTGTGCCACAACAACAACAATCTGTATCGGCGGACTCGAGCGACTGCTCTCCGTTTTTCGCTCACCGACAGACTCCTCCTCTTTTCGAGCTCCAAAGATCCACCAACCGACGTCAGCCGATTGTGGCGGAGGGGGCGGGGGGGTCGGTTGGTCGGTAGACGCCAAATGGTCGCGTTGACCAGCCTCGCGCTCTTGAGTTAGTTTTCCTCGGTTTTGTTTTAAGCCTCTCTACGGGTGGTGGTAGTGCAGAAGTCGGTAGCTAAAGCCGGCAAGGTATGTCTGAACAGTTCCAGGACGTGACAAGGCGGTGTGTGTGGATGAGTGTGTTTTAGAACAGCACCTCTGCCGGGAGTAGTCGAGCTGCAGTGTGGGTGAAGCAGCCTCACAGAGCCGACGGTTGGAAAGTAGAGACAACAGGGAGCCGAACATTAGCATGGAGAGGGAGGGGAGTGTTGGTCCGTCCGCTACAGGCAGAAACCCGGGCTGAGGGGGAGGGATTATATGGAGGAGGAGGAGCCAGCCGGACTACAGCCTCAAACATTGTCTGTAAACTACAGGCAGTGGTGTTGTTGTAGGTTTGTAGTTTGTGCACCTCAGGGATGGGGCTGTTTGATTTGTGTGTTCAAGTACTAAACCAGACCTTTAAGTAGTTTGCCTTTCTTCACACTTTAAAAATAAATAAATAAATAAATACTTTAAAAAAAAAAGGTTAACATGATACAAGAGCATGGTTCAACTCAAAGATGTAGAAAGAATACCAATTCAGGAAGTATGGACAGCTGGGAAGGTGTTTTTCTCCTTAATTTGCCTAGACTACAAACAATAGGCTTTTTTACTGTGGTTTAGTGGGCTGTCACCAAAAAAAAACAAGAAGACAGACAAATCCTTATTTCCAGCCTCTTGAAAATTTTTTTACATCAGTGAGCAGCAAGTTTGCAGTTTTTTGCTGTCTTCTGACATTATACAGCACTATATAGGTCAGCCATTTTGTTGACTCACTTGTGCGAGAGGAACTTGTAGTTCCCCAGGAGGCCAGCAGAGGGATAGTTATGGTAGCATTCACATCAGAAGCGTTAAACATGTTTGTTCCTGTCCATAACAGGAACAGCCTAAACCTTTGCATCTACTGTAGTCTGTGTCATGGCTAGTCTTCCTACAGGTTGTATGTTCAGACCACAAAATCCATGTGATCAGGAGGAGTGGGAGTTAGCAGCTGTGCTCTCCGCTGCCCTGTGCTTTTCTCTCTCTCTCACACTCCTGCACGCCAGACAAGGTCTGCCAGACAAGGTCTGCAGTGCTAGTCTAATAGAAAGAAGCCTTGGGGTTAGACAAGTCTCTATTGCCGTCAACATGTGTGAACAAATCCAGCTAGAGTATGCTGTAGCATAGTGTCTCTACACTGACATTGGAGCATAAAATGAACGAATCAAGTAGCATTTTACATTTTTTCAATATGACAAAAGCTCCTATGTTTAGGCCACAGTCTGTGCAGATCACAGGCTGTGTTAAGCAGCACATAAAGCATGACTATTACATTAAGGAGCTGGAAGATATTTCAATCAAAAATCGATAATACAGCTGGAAGCGATATAATATTCTGTGTGTGTTTGTTGATCGACTGTTCAGAGTCATCAGTAAATCATGAATAAGAAACACAGATGCTTTTATGATTGAATGGCTCTCACATAGATTTCTTTAAAAATAAAGAATAAAATCCCTCCAAACACTGAGTATTACTAACTTTATTGAACACTTTTGAAAATTTTTGTCTGTATGTCTTATGCCATGTAAACACCCTTTATTCTTAATGTAAAAATTACAGCTTCCTTTTACCATATTAGCTACCTACATGCCTTATTAGTTTTTTTTGTGTGTGATATGCAAAAAGTAAAATGGTGTCATATTGCTATTGTCCAGTTTATTGGATATCAGTTCGACTAAATGTATTAATTTTCTGCTTTAAAATTTTTAAGCAATTTTACTATATTCAAGCTGTAACTTTTTACAGTTTGTTGTGAAACCAATTGTAAATTTGCAAGCTATAAAATCAAACTCTTCAGAAGCTTACAGAAAAGAAAAAAAAAAGGTCATATTCTTTTCCGTCAACAGAGGGCTGCAGAGCACGTAGAGTATGTAGCTCTCTGTAAACAGTTGCGTCATGAAAATAGAAGCATGATACAAAATAAACACTCCAATTTGTCATGCAGGCAGAAACCTCAAAATCCATCAGCGTATGTGTGAAGTCTTCCCAGGTGTAATTGACAATCACAGTGACATACAGCTGCAAAGGCTTGGGCGCCTCTGGGTAAATTACATGTTTTGTTGATTTTTTTGGAGGTGAAAAGAAGCAAATACAACCCCTGCAGCAAACAGATATTAAAATGAGCTCTTCTTCAAATGTTCATGCGTTATTATAATTTATTTAATGAAAAAAGAAAAAGTAGAGTGTGGCATGTGCAAAGCTGGGGCACCCCGCTTTGCTAGTTATTAGCAACTGTCCCTTTTGGCAGATATCACAGCTTGCAAATGCTTTTTGTAGCCATCCAAGAGTCACTTCGAATTCAGAGATATTTTTAGGCTGCCTTGCACACACAGCATGTTTAAGCTGTATCTGCAGATTTTCAATGATGTGCAAGTCAGAGGACTGGAAGAGCCACTCCAAAAGCTTCAGATTGTGTTTCCTGAAGTAGGTCATGTTGGATTTCAAGGTCTGCTTTGGATCATTGTCGCGTTCTCAAAGTCAGCTTCTTTTCAGGTTCAGTCTCATGACTGACTGCAATTTGCATCCATAATTTGCTGGTGTTTAACAGAGTCAATTCTTCTCTAACTGTGCAATGTTTCCGGTGCCACAACCCCATAGCAGAATGTTTCCACCCCCAACTTAACACTTGACAAGGTGTTCTTTTAATCAAATGCTGCTTCTTTTTATCTCCACACATGCCTTTGAGGATTGTAGCTAAAGGGCTGAGTTTGAAGTTCATCTGTCTTTTTTAGCTTTGCGGTCTACAAAGCACTTTACAGCATTTTGCCTCATTCACACACACAAACACACACACTCGTTCCAAAAGCAACAGTTCCAATAGGAGCTACTCTCCACTTCGGGTTCAGTCTCTTGCCTGAGGACACTGTGTCATGTGGAGTGGCCAAGGATCAAACCACCAACCTTACGATTTGCTGACAACCTGCTCCGCCGCCTGTAGTACAGCAGCAGGAAAGCTGCACAACGGAACAACAAACCACCACTTCTCTGTCAGCTTCAAGAGCTTATGGATTGTCATAACTTCCGCGGGTCTGTGTTAACAACCATGTTCTGTTGTGGAAAGTTTTAAATCTTTTCTTCTACTTTTTTTTTTTTCTTTAGCTTTTCCTGCTTTGCAAGCATCAATCAGCTCAACATTAGCTCCTCAGTCAGTTGCTGTCAGCAGCTCAGTGTTGTTGAGCATTACCACAAGATTTGAATAGTCAGAAAATGTATCAGCTCTCACAATTTCTCCAGCTGACAGTTACTGACATACAAATATTATGGAATCAGTTAAGGGCTAACTAGTTAACGAAGTTCTGCAACTTTATATATAAAAGACTGCCCACGTTTTTCACATGTCACAATTACTTTTCAATCAAGTTCATAAAGTGAAAAATAAGTAAAGTACATTGACACTTTGCTTAACAATTCAGGAAACAATCAGAATATGCAATTTGCCCTGAGGTGCCCAAATGTGTGCATACAATTGTAGTCCTGTGTTGAGCAGAGTAAAAGTTAAGAAGTTTAGCATGTTTACCAGAACTGAAACATCTAAACTTACCTAATCAAATCTAGCCTACCTTCTAAAGGCAGAATGATCAAATACTTCACACTATTAAGTGCTTGCAGTAGGCACATATCTATGCTCCCACGGTCCTTTGTTTCCCAGTTCAGCATTCTGCTAACCAACATTAACCACCCCTTCCATTCCCACAAGAGCCAAAATACCCACAAGAGCTGGGGGACATCTTTTTCAGACTGCTATAATGTGCCATATAAACCTGGGGAACGTTAAACCCTTGGAACATAAGAATGACTCTGTTTAAAGAAAGATTGGTTTATGTCCCCTGCTAAGTGAACAGTAAAGACTGCAGTCTATAGTCATCTGATTAACGACAAGCACATATGTTCTTGTGCTTGCTCAAAAGAAAGTTACTAGTTAGTCATCTCTAGTCCATTAAAAGAGAAAAAATGTTACATAAAGACAAACCAAGCTTGGCCACCATTTAATGCCAATGTTCAAATATTGTTGGATTACACATTGTGAGAATGTCCAAATATAAACTTGTTGCTGGCAGTGTCCAGACAAAGCAGAAGTGAAGAATAAGAAGAGACACTACATGAAAATTAGCCACGTTGAGCAGCTAGCTGACAGCTAACAGACAGATTGTCTTTAACCTCAGTTTGACTGATAGGCTCATGATCTAAGTTTTAACCACACATTCTATACGACACCAATTTCTCCCTCAAATATGTGATAGAGAAGATGTTACATGTGTCTCCTTTTTTAACACTGGCAATGGATGTCTGTTATTTTCAATTTATTTCCCTCTGTTAAGTAAACTTTAAATACGTGACATCCGTCACACACTAGGTTGCACCCATGATTCAGCAACAAACACACAGCTGTGAGCACAGTGCTAAAGTTTTGGGTCTGTACAGTAGGTCCTGAGGGCCAGCTGACTTCTATCTCCCAAATATTTTAGGGCTGAACCCTTTTCCAGTCCTCAAAACTAATGTAACAGAGTGGAGCTTAATGTGAAGTGTCAGGGAGACTCTCTGTTGTACAATACAACACAGACAGCCATTTAAAAAAAAATTTCTTTACTATCCACCATATTGTAGGTTATCTTTTAACATGCAGTACGTCATGTTGATGCGCCTGGACACATCAGTGATGGTACCTGGAATCACTGGATGTTTCTGGTCTAAAAACAACACACACCCTCACACAGGCAACCCAGGTAGAGTTGATCAAGCCCCAGCTTGAGACCAGGTAGTGCTACACCACCCTAGAGTATCTGTTGCATAACATATTGATATGTCTGTAAAAATACAGATGGTAATGTGACTTGGGCAGATTTGAAGCGTGTAAATGTCTGAATCTTACAACAATGTGTTTTAGGTATCACCAAATGTGATTTAGCAGAAGCATTAGCATACCTACTGATGTCCTTTTACCCACAGATACCTATCTGTTGACTTTCATAAATAGCTGCAGCATCACAAACGAGAAGAGCTTTTTTAAATTGAGAGTAATGTGCATAATTACAAATGTGGCACAGCAGCGGTAACTTCATTGACATAGGATCTGACAGTAAATAATGCTCTGTGTTGTTCTTGACCAGCTGTTCCACATAGATTCCAGATTTATATGCTGAAAGTATTTGCATTAA